GATGGGTGTTCCTAGATGCTGGTCTTTTCCTCATAAAATTCTTAAAACAGCTACTTCTCCTCCCACGCCTCAGGATGACGTCACACCCTGGATGCCTCCAAGTCTGGCTTATTCCCTACGCCACACTCTCTACTTTTTCCTCCTCCTTTCAAAGGTTAAAGCCGAGGGGATTCTTGGCCATTGCAGAGGCCAAGTCTGGCCTGGCTAGAGTCACACAGCTCTTTTCTTCTTCTGCGTGTGCGAGAGGGTGTGTGGGGGAATGGAAGAGGGTGGCTGCTGTTCTCCATGGACTCTGTGTGGCCTCGGCACTCTGCTCGTGTACACAGAAGACGCCAGAATATATCCCAAGGATCAAAAGTCCAGAAGCAGAAGCATTCTCAGTTTTCTGGGCAACCAGTCTTAACATGACGTGAACTGAGATGGTCCTAGAGTTCCTTCACCTGACAAGAAGCCAGCGGCAAAGGACTCTGGGAATAAAGAACGTGTGAGGGATAATTCCTTGGACACAGGGTCTCTTGGTCTGCCCCTGAGAGACCGGAGATCACCTCAAAGGACTTTTGACTGATCTTGTGCACATCAACAGGGAAGTCTGTGATTGCTGTATATACATGGGGATATGTCCACCCGGCTGCCTGGAGGTTGGGTTCTCACCCACCCTCTCTGTCCCCTCCCTCCTCTTTTTCCTGAGGAAAAACTAACAGGTTTTGCTGGGGGACAGGGTACCCTAGCATGGAGTGCCAACCCCTGAAGGGCTTCCCCTCCTTCGTCTTCAAACATGCTGAGCCCTGCTTCCTGCCTTGGCTGATGAGAACCATTCGTCTCTGGAACCAATCAGTTACTTCTGGCCTAATGAGCTCATGTCTTTTTCTTGCTGGGAACTCTCCAATCAGCCTCTTAACTTCTTGTTCTTGGAACAGAGTCCCATCCATCTGGGAGCCTTGCTCTTTCAACTGGGTAGTCTTGGGCTTCTTTCTGTGGATGCTGGGTCCCAGGTAGCAGCTCCAAGGGACTAAGAAGGGGCTGAGAAGCTGGGGAGGGGGTCTCTAGAAAGAAGGTTTGAGGACCTGTCTATGGCAAACCCCTATTCTTCCCCTTCCTATCCTTGGGAAAACCATTTGCTTGTGACCCTCTGAACCTTCTGGATTTTTCGCTCCTACTGTAGGTTAGGGAATAAGTTTATATGTTTGTGGTTTCTCTTATATTCAAGATATCTGCCTAGACCCACAGAGTTTCTTCTGCCCCAGGACTGGGTATTCCCTTCAACTGAAATGCAATGGTAGCCAAGGCGGTATCTCCAAGTATGACTGTGCAAGGGTTAAGATGAGCTTTGTATGATCACAGGCATTCCAAGTGTGACCCTTCCTGATTCCCGACTTCACTCCAGCCAGAAACATGACTCTGCGGAGGCTGTGGAGTGCAAAGAGGGAGGCAGAGAGGCTCTGGCTCCCTAGGCATAGGACAGGGGTGGAGGTGGGGCTGAGGGATCTGGCCCACCAGGAAGTGTGTGTAATCCTAACAGGCCTGGCTTCTCAAACACCACCTCTCAGGGACAGCGGGAGGTTGAGGGACAGAGGGTGTTGTGTATCTGGGAGTTGGACAAACTGTCTGCTTCCACATTCTCCTGCCTCCCAGGACCCAGCCTGGGGCCCAATGGTTGTAGGAGTTGCTTCAGAGACACCCTCCCACTCCCGTGAGCCATTTCTGGCCAGCCATGATTCATGCCCGTCTGAGCACTCCCCTGAATGAACCCATCGTGGGTTTGAGCTCTGACTTCCAACCTGTTCCAGAGAGAGTTTTGTTTAGGCTAGGCCAGCTCTATTGCCTCCTCCCAGACTCCAGGTCTCTCTCAAAAGAGAAAGCCTCCATTCCCTCGGCTGTGAAGTAGAGACCATGGCAGCGGGGATGTTTGTGACTACCAGCTTCACTAGGCTGAGCTACATAACCCAGGTTTTCTTTTCCTGGGTGTTTCCTGTGAAGATGGGTCATGAATGGTTTCCCATAGGAGACGAAGGTGCTGAGGAGAGGAGGCAGCTCTTGCCTCAGTGATGGAGTGTTCAATCCTCTTCTCCTGGATCCTTCTCTGGCATCTTCTCCCCCGGGCCAGGGTGTGCATTCAGTTCTGTGATCAAGGACGTAGCTTCTGCAGGACACTCCTAACACTCAGTTCAGAGGCTACAGGAACTGACGTGGGTGTTTGTCTGAAACAAAAACAAAGCTGCTTGGGACATAAATGCTTCAGATTTTAGTATTTTTCAGATTATGTAATGCTCTCATATATATACATGTGAGAATATGTAGATATTTCCAGGGGAAAGCCACAAGATTTCTACTTTGTTCTTGATCTTCCCAACTTTCTCTCCCCCCCCATGTGTCTGTGTGTCTGTCTGCCGTTCATGTGTCTGTGTGCATGTGTTGACATCAAGTGGTACTCCTCAATTGCTTCTTCACTGTTATTAGATATTTTTACAATGAATTCCCAGTTACATTTTTATTTGTGTATTATGCACGCACACGTGCACAACACATGCACAGGCATGTGTATGTGTGTGGTATGTGTGTATGTATGGTGTGGTGTGTGTGTATATGTGTGGTGTGTATATGTGTGGTGTGTATATGTGTGGTGTGTGTATATGTATGTGTGTAGTGTGTATGTGTGTGGTATGTGTGTATGTATGTTTATGTGTATGGTGTATGTGTGTGGTGTGTCTGTGCACATGTGTATGTTGTATGCACAGGTTGCGTGCTAGGACATGCACCCATGTGTGTGTGCAGAGGCCCAAGGAGGACATTAGCTGTCCTGCTCTCTCATTCCCACCTTACTCTCTTGAGACAGGGTGTGGTGGTTTGAACGAGAGATAGACTCAGGTATTTGAACAGTTGGTGAAATGATTCAGGGAAGCCATGGGCAGTGTAGATTTGCTGAAGGAAATACAAGGTTCAGGCATCTGAACAGTTGGTAGAACTTCAGGGAGGCTATGGGCAGTACAAACTTGCTGAAGGAAGAGCATTGCTGAGACGAGTTTGAGAATTTAATACCTTGCCCCACTTCCTCTTTGTTCTCTGCATCTGACGTGCGGTAAAAGATGAGATCTCTCAGCTTCTTGCTCTGCAACGATGCCTCCCTGCCATGGTAGACTCTCCTCCCTCTGGAACCATAAACCCAAATCCTTCTTCCTAGAGTTGCCTTTGGATGTGGTGTTTTATCAAATACACAGTAAAATCCCTGATGTGCAGGGTCTCCCACAGAACCTGAATGAGGCTGGTGGCCAGCAAGCCCGTGAGCCTTCATTTTCCACACCAACACAGTGCTGGAGTTCAGGTGTGTGTGTTCGTGTCCAGATTTTTACGCAGGTACTGATGGTTGAACTCAGAGATGGATGCTTTTCAGCAAGTATCCTTGCCCACTGAACTCAGCTCAACGTGTTTTTTTCTTAAGGGGACCTCGCTATATTGGGCTAGTTTTACACTCCTGGGTCCACGTTATCCTCTGAGGAGTGGAGACCGAACTCATCAACCACAGCAACAGGCTTAAGCAAGCATCAGGACTGTGCTGAGGGCTTGTCTAGGTTTCTGGGTTCAGGTCGTCTTTGAGCTGGGACCACAGAATACAGGTCTGGAAAGTGGAGGCTGCAGCATGGCTTTCCCTGCAGGATCTTGGGGGAAGATCCTGGCTAGGAGGTGAAAAACCCACTGTGTTGGCCATCTAGGGCTGAGTTCAGGGCAGGTAGGCTCAAATGCAATCCTCACCCTCTGATCCTGCAGACAGTGTCCTGGAACAAGTGTCTTGCTGTATGTGACAGAAGCCTTGTGGACTTTTCATAAGGCCAATGTGTAGAAGCACTTGTCCTCACCCAGGGTCTCTGACTTCGATTTTTGTCATTGACAGCTTAAAAATGTACATCTGAGACCCTGTTTGGTGGATTTTACTGGCTTTTTTTTTTTTTGCAGGGTGAGGTTGAATGTTTATTCAGGGGGTTATGGAGGAAGAAGGGTAAAGGGGGGACAG